AACTTGCTTCCCAGCCTCTTTGTTATTACATCAAGCTATAGAGCTGCAGCAGATCCACTAGAGCAGCTTCAACTGTCAAGTTTCATTCTGCAAGACATCTTTTTCTGCGAAAGGAGCAAAGTCCTGGAACTCGTTACAGAAACACCTTAAATTTGATGCTAACTTCACCACTTTGACAGAGACTTATCAAATCCTCTTTAGCAACAATTCAGCAACAAACTTGTACACGTCTAGTCTTCTGTATTTCCTATCAAATTTGTGTTTTGTTGAATGTTGTACTCCGTTCAGCACCTTTTTTACCTCACTGTTTTACTGCTCACAAAAGCCTTTTTAGGAACACTGATATTTCCATGGGATTTATTTGTCCCTATGAAAGAAAATAAAAATAAAAAATAAGGGAGTAGCGTTTGGCTGGAGCCAGTGCCTCAGTGTCTGGAGGATGCTCACCTCTTGTCGTCTCACTACATGTCCAGTGATGCACATTAGTGACGTGGTGGAGAATGTAGATCTCCTTAAGCCCGGCCACACTTTCTCCACATTGTGACCCTTAAGTAACATCTTCTTGACAGACCAGAAAACGCACCAAAAGGTCATATTATGTACGTTGGTGTTTTTGTCGACCTGCAACCCTAAATGATGGCAGTCAGTAGCGATCACAAATATCAGCACACCAAACTATTAAAGTCTTGACAGACATATCCTCAAACTAGGGATGAAACTGTATAAACCTTACATAACGATTACAGTGACCAAAATGGTCCAAACCAAAGTCCTTTTTTTGATACATTTTCAAACAATTTGATGCAACTCTGCGGCCGCACTGAAGGACTTGACAGACCTGCGTCCTGTCATCATCTATGTGGGCTGCATCTCCCTTTACTTGACTTGATTGGTTTAGTAAAAAGTTCAGCAGATATCAGCAGGATGAATGAATAAAAAAAGTGAACATATGCATATTTGCTACTATATTATTTTTATGGCATTACTACCTGCAGCACCAACTATACTGAAGGCTAGTCGCAATTAAACGTCCTCGTTCGAACATTAAAACGTCGCCGACAGGACAGCAAGCAAGAGAGACCAAAGAGATGGGTGGCGGTGTGCTTCTGTAGCGGCCGTCTGTTTGGAAGGTGAGCCGTCACAGGAGATTTATAATCGTGTCTTTATGTCAATGCATTTCTCCGTGCAGTTGTTTGTTTCCGGTTTATAGGGCAAACACCAAACTTCCTGTAAATGGTCTGGAAGTCCGAACCATCCAAAAAATGCTTTCACACCAGAAACAAACCGAGGTTCAGGTTGATCCGGACCGAGGATACCTCTTTTCGTCAGACAAAATTTCGTCTGTTTGGTCCGGACCGCGGTCCGTTTCACACCTGGAATTTTGCTTCGGACCAAACCGAAAAGTGCGAAAGTCTGGATCAAACCAGGTATGTGTGAAAGCCCCCTTAAATGTACTGAAACAAAACACAAACAAAAGATAAAATTGCCATTTTGTTTGTATAAACATAAAAATAAACAGCCAATACCTTTTGTAAACATATGAAAATCATCTAAGTGGCCATTATCAAGATTTTAAATTAAATAGGTAATGCAATGACCCCATGCACAATTACATGAAAACTAAAAGACTGATAGGTAACTGCAATGAGCCCAACGACTGACATAAATACAGAGGAGTCTGCAGCGTTTCTCCTGTTCTGACACTTTGAGAACTAATTTGACAACTGCTGGATTTAAATGAACAAGATATGCTGGTTGGTTGACTAAACAGGACCTTCGTATCCTGCAGTCTCCACACAAACCCAGCGGTTCATAATCCACTGCAGCCAGCACAGCTCGTTTGTTTTGTCCACACTTTGTTTAGCGCAAAGTAGAGTTTTCAGACCAGCGGGGTCACAGATCTCCAGAAATGGACCGCTCTCGTTGCCAGTGGTAAAAATGCAGCTGCAGGGATAGAAACATTGCTCTCCATCATTCCTCTGGCCAAAGGCTGTGAGGTCCAGGTGTAGTCTAGGCCATTAATGTTTTCTGTCTTAAGCTGTAGTTCAAATCGTTTTTGGTGGCTGGAAAAGTCTTTTGCCACAACCCCTCCTAGTGGCGCAAACAGAAGAGTCCTTGGATGGACACGATACTCTTTGTCCTGAGAGAGATTTAGTTCCTCGTCTGCAATATCATCACACTGTCATTCAAAGTTTTTTATTTTGAACTCTTCATCGTAGTCCGCATTTGAGTTTTCCTCCGTTGAGCTAACTCCCTTCTAACCGCTGCTATTCTGCAGCACTCAAACATGCGATAGGTTGTGATGATGCAGGTCTGAAAACCAGAACTGTTTTGCCATAAGAGCGATCACAGGTAAGGACCTGGGTGAACTGTATATCATCTGCCACAGTGCCTTTATTGCTGTACTGGTTAGCAGTCGCTGTCACTTCCTGCCGACATTGATCTGTCTGAGTTACTCTCACCGACGCTTTCCCTGCTGTACTTCTTTCTGATGCTGCTGCTGTCTAACAGATGCATGTTTGCCTGACCTATGAAAATAAAGAAGCTGGGGTTACGGTTAGTTAATCCTCCTCGTCTTTGGCTCAATGAAGGAGCCTCCAAATTCAATCATAACCTTAAAAAGATTAAAAACATTATTTTTTGCTTTCTTTCTTAATGCCAATACCATTAATAATTTGTTTCTGTAAATGTGTCATCCAAAGATGCAATAAATTAGTGCTCAGCGAAAACAATAGTTTTTGTGATATAGTACATTACTATAAAACAGATCTGGAACTGGCTTTGTGGCACAGTTGGAAAATCTCGACCTGCCGCTTTAGTATACCAGCAGGGGTCAGAGGCTGTATAACATACAATGTAAAAGCAAGCAGCAGGGAAGCAGGGTTTTACAAGGCGGTGACATACTGAGAAAAGCAAATAATTTAAATAAGGAAGTAAAATTTGTTGTTAGATGGCTCGTCTTATAAAGTATATTATTTAAAAATTTTAAAAAACAGGAGTTCTACATTTGTGTAAATAATATTTATGCAGCAAAATCAAGTTGTTTACAAGATATCCAGTATGTTAGTTTAATGCTTCAGTAAGTAAGAGTCTGTAATAAGAGACTTGAGGTGTACCAATCTTTTGTACATCTTTCTCAAGTTTCATCTCGAAAATCAGCTGGACCCGAACGTCAGACAATATCAAACTGGCCAAATTACAGAAGTATACTATAAAGTGGGACCATGTAACAGCGCTTAAAATTTACTTATGTATATAGAAATCTCAGAATTTATCAAAACTCATTCAATCAAATTTATATTTGTTGTCCTCTTATAACCACAACACTCCTATTTGAAAACAGTAAATATTTCTTCCTCAGTGGCAAGCAGTTATGCACGGCTTAAAACAACATTTTCTGTGCCTGAAATGCGTTCGGGGGTTACAACAAAGATGAAAAGGTAAGGGGCAAGAGCTTAACTCAGTGTTGAAAACTGATGGGGACATAGTGGCTCAGATTAGGGGTGTGACGATACACTTAACCTCTTGGTACTGGACCTGCTCGATACTGGGCAGGTGATCGATTTTCGCTGTTCTAGCTGTTTTCTGTCTTTATCAGCCTCTGCTGGCGACCTGCAGGAGCTGCACAGACCTGCAGGATATCAATCGATTCGTCAATGCAGGGTGTTCTGTTCTCAAGCTGTGGCCTGTAAAGCGTGGGAGTGCTTTTGGTTACAGGAATATTGCCTGTTTTTATCAATATTTCAATGTTTTGAAAGCTTTATGTTATTTGGAACGTGGTTGTGTGGAGAGAAATAATGTTTTGAAGATAACTCCCAATAAAAGTGAACATATAAACATGTAAATATGGCCGAAACATGGATATTCGCCTGGTGTATTTTAGAAAGATTGTTATACATCAGTTTCTTTTCATCAGATTTACAGTTACAGTTGTGTTCCAGGTGGATTAGAAGATATTCAGGTGCATTATAATCTACCTTATGATGGTTTTGATGGTTTATTGCATTAAAATAAAGCTTTTCACCAGGTGAAGATGAAAATATCACATTTTTCTGTATTGCATCTCCATGTAGTGTAATAGTAAAATAAATATGTTAATGTACAATGGATTTATATTCCTCAGCTTCTGACATTTCAAAGGAGACCAGAATTATGCATCTAGGCCTGATGGTTGAGGAGATATTACTGATTTATTTTGGGTTTGTAATTTTAGGTGTTTTGCACCTCCTCCTACGGACAACGCTGTATTTTGTCGTCATGTTTCTACAATAGCTGACAACTAACAAACAGAGCGCGTTTCGTCATCACGGCGTTCTTCTACTTGTATAATAATGTAAATAATAACAAAAAAACATTTTTAAAAAACAGGCAACACGCCTGCACGCACCTCAATAAGCAGTGGTTTACTTTTGTAGAAAACACAATTAGCCGTAAAGCAGCTTTGCTTTTATCACCCTTGGATTTAAATTATCTTTACTTTGAAAAGTCTTTCACACACACACACACACACACACACACACACATTAAGACTGGACACCATGTTCCATTTACAAATAAAGATTGATGAATGCGTGTTTTGTGTTATTGAGGAGAGAGAGACTGGCACAGGTTAGGTGTACTACGGTAACTATGGCAGGGGGTGATATTTTGGGATGGGGAAGAGAAACATTCAAAGATTTCGAGACGATTGAGGCAGTGCCAGTGAACCACCTGTTTGGACCGCGAACCATTCTGGTCATTCATTCAGTTAGTGAAGAAATTGCTGCACGTGATCTTTTTTGCACCAAAGCAAGCTTTGAAGCGGTGGTTCTATGTTCGGGGTTAGAAGCACGTATCGAAGCTTCGGTTTCGCGCTGCCATCACTTGTTAGGGCATTTATTTAATCCTAGAAATGTAATGCTTTTCAGGACTTATTTTTAGAATGTAAAATTTAAGACTTTAATACTTTTAAGACCCGGCGGGTACCCTGATGCAAGCATACCTGATTGAGTACTGCATACCTGGGTCGCTCAGCAAGGACACTGCTGTATCCAGCCTTGATTTGGCCGTCGTACGGACAAAATCTGTAATGGTTGCATCCTATATCAGTCTTCAACTCCTTCCAGGGGCCAGGTCCATTCAATTTTCTAACTTTGGTCCAGCCTTGGACCATATGGTCTCCTTGCGGCCTCCTGCCCACGTGTCTCTGATTACTGTGAAACATCAATGACAGTCAGTTACTTGTGACATACATAATTTAAGGTGTGCTTTGTGGAGGTTTACTCACTCGTGTTTGCATCCTGTGGATCTTCCTATGGATGGTGGGTCCAAAGGATGGAGGGGGGGGTGCCACGTTGCTGTTTTGGGCTGTGCCCGGCCGGGCTCCGTGGCAAACCCAGCCACCAGGCGAGCCCTCCCTCTGGGCCCTGCTCCAGACGGGGGCCCCGGGCTTCCTCTGGGCAGGGTCTGTCCTCCTCTTCCTCGATTTTTCATAAGGGGCTTTATGAACCATTCTCAGTCTGGCCCCTCACCTGGAACCACTTTGCCATGGGAGACCCTACCAGGAGCCCTAGGCTCCAGACAACACAGCCTCCAGGCTCACAGGGGCACGCAAACCTCTCCACCACGGTAAGGTGATGGTTCCCGGAGAGGTACCGCAGTATGTCTGAATGTAGAACCGGAACACAACATGCCTCTGCAGCGTTGCTCTTGTGTCAATGAGAATGCGATGCACCGTAGAACAGCTTAAAGTTCAGTGTTGCTATAGATTTATGTGAGCTTTACACCAATGTTTTGGTGGTGGTCATGGTAGTCATGGTCAGGGGGGTTTGGGGGCACATAACAGCAGGGTGTAAGATGCAGGCAGGAAGTGCGTACATGGAACGCCATAACCACGTAGCTGGCATTGTGTACAGGAACATCTGCCATGAGTATGGGCTGGAAGTCCCAAGGTCAAAATGGAAGACACCTCCTAAGGTAGTTGAGAATGACCTGTGGGACTTCAAGATCCAGACTGATAAACTGGTGATGGCTGACCAACCAGACATCGTGTTGATCGACAAACAGCAGAAGGCGGCAGCACTGATAGATGTGGCGATCCAAGAGACAGCAACATCAAGAAGGAGGAACACGAGAAGCTTGAGAAACACCAAGGGCTGAAAGAGGAGCTAGAAAAGATGTGGAGAGTAAGAGCAACAGTGGTGCCAGTGGTGATCAGAGCACTGGGGGCCGTGTGAGTGGCTACAGCAAAGAGAAACGTCTCATCAGGTTAAAAAGGACTAGTTTGTATCACTAATTTGCTTTACTAACCTCAGCTCCTCCAGTCACCACCGTCCTCTTTTCCCAACAACCACTTTTTCAGTTACGCTGCTCTTATAACAAAACCTGTCACGTAGACGTCCTTTGAAGAATGAGGAGAGGAAGTAAGCCAAGCAATGAGTGTTACCGTGCTCACATAGTGTGCGAGTGAAACTTAGTAGCGCATCATTATATTAATAGTGACTGACATTTTAGTAGCGGCGCACTGCCGCTGCAGAATGCATGTAGGGGAAACACTGACACTCTTACTTCGTACTCTTTTGGCACCTCAGAGGGATACACCTCGCTTCCCTCCCAAGCATCAGAAAGTACGGGCTGCACTTGGCTGTCAGCAGATTTTTTTTGTCCAGAGAGCGAACATGGTGGACTACAGGAACTGCTCCCTGTGTTTGGGGTGATCAGCCACCACTTCGTTCAGGAACCTCAAAATGCACAATTTAGGTTCACATTTATAATAAAGCTTATCTGCTACGAACAACTAATCAACCCATTAGCTTACATTTTGCAAGCAAAAATTCATTCAAGTATTAAAAACAAAACACACCTCTGTATTGTTCCATTCTGCTTCTCCACCAGGCCATTGGTCAGCGGTTGGCAGGGAGAGCAGAGGCTCCTTTCAACGCACAACTTCCGACACAACCCACAGTTGACCTTCAGAATGATTAGACAAACATGAAACTGTCAGCACAGCAGTACGCCTTATTATACATTGGGGACACATACGGCATCATTACTGTACCTTGCTGCAAAACTCTGAGCCCTGGTCTGTTGGCAGTCTTTTAGGTGCACCAAATTTGTAAAAGAAATCAAGTATACAATTAGTGACCTCAACTGCCGTTTTGCTTTTTAGTGATCACACACTGTACTGATAACCACCATCTGTTACTGCGCGTTTACCCACCTGAGCCATCCTAACAAGTTCGAGAGGCTCTGTAACCCGACAGAAATAGGGAAAGAAAACACTTGAGAATAATATCGCTGATTGGTTTAGATAGTGACAGGGTATGCCGTCGTTTCCTTTACCTCTATTGGATTATACTGGGTCGTTTCTTTAATATTCGCCATCTTTGACTGGCACTGTGGACACTGAGCAACCCAAAGTAGACAAATATTTAATCCTCACGGTAACTGACAACATTTGTTCAGTGATACATCCACAGAGTTTCTACATTTGCAAAAATCCACATTTAAGCCCCCTGTGCTCCATCACAGGAATGCACATAGGTGTATGAACTTCAAGTTATCACTTCAGTTTACAGCGTCTGTACAATTGTTGAAGGATTGTTCAACCTCAACATTTGGAAGGTACCTATTCACCCACGTCTCCATCTGGCGTTTTGATGTTAGAATTCGGTTTACTGGGAGTTGTACCACAGGAAATTATATTTATTTTCTGTAGTCCACAAGGCATATGCTTATCTTACCCTCACCTATTAAAGCCGATGATTATTTATTCAGATTATTATTTTCACTAAATTTTATTTGCACAAGTCAGAATTCTTGAAAAAATAAACCAAGCTTTCTGAAGCTTACTGCTAACATTAAGCACTGTTCTTTCAATATCTGAGTGTAAAAACAAAAAAAGCTGTTCATATATGACCTCTGTACTTAATGTCACTCACTCTTTGCTTTCCATCTTGCAGGTATCCAAAGTTGTAACTAAACACTGACTGATAGACTAAATAATCGTTGTCTTGTTTAATAAGTTATGTGCATCCATATAATTGTCCGGACTGGCCCGCACAGGTGTTGCTGCTCAAGGCGCCAGTTTCATATCGTGCACGCGTATAAACGCACGTTCACGCACGACGCGGTTCTCTTTTCCAGAGCTGCGGTTTGTAGAAAAACCGGTTCCCGCTTAGCTGGAGTTAGACAAACGTTTTTTATTATAGTAGTTTGTTGTATTTCACACAAAATTACAAAACACCGCCAGAGAAAAAAAGACCCAGCTAACGTTAGCAAGACAGACAAGCTAGCACATCAACTTGTTACCTGCCGACATCAAACTGGGACAGAACGCAAGTTTACCTGACTTATGTTCCCGCAATTTACTCACCTTGAGTTTGTTCCCTCTTTCCGTGACCAGAAGAATAGTTTAGCTTCATCCTCTCATCGAAGTTTGTGAACATAATCTCCCGCTTTGAAACGAGGAGGAGGCGGAACCCTACACAGCTAGCTAGCTAGTTAGTTAGCATGTAGATCCGACACCTGTCCTGCTTACAGGTGAGTACAGGTGCAACTCCATCGGACTCTGTGACCCAAAACACTGTTGCTTTGTTTCAGGTTAGCTGGTTGTCCTTTCTTTGGCGTTTCTTCGAGACCTTACTGCAGGTGGTTTATTTAAAAACAACAAGGGTTCCTGACGGATCTCTGCAGGGCAATTGTCCCCTCTCTAAGCCACGCCCCGAATACGCAGCTGGCCAATCACAGCGCGGTATAGGTCTCTCTCTAACTGCGCTCCAGTGACTGAAGTCTTGTAGCTTTTCTTTTTTTTTTGCTGTATTGTTCCAAGTTATGGCGAAATGCTGTTCCTGGGGAATCTTGTAATAGTTACAGCAGCTACCCAGAGAGGCTGAAAGGAGAAGTACGATTTATTCCTTTTCCAAATCCTAAAACAAATCCAGAAAAATATCGTCTGTGGATTGTTCCTAATGTAATGTTAGTTAGCTAACGCTAGCTAACTTCCTACTGAATGTAACGTAATAAAGTCCTGCTGTTCTGCTCTTTAATGATTGTAATAATAAATAGAGGCCTACCAGCTGTACAGGAACAGTGTTGATCTTTTATATTGTTGTCCTCGATCTTAATAGTCAGGTAGTTTACTCTGTGATCGGTCAGCTTTAGCTTCTGTCTTTATTTATTTTCCACACAGCCTGAATAAACTCTTCAGATGTATGAAGCAATAAAAAACAGTCTGCTTCTTTCTGAGATTGCTTCTTCCAAAAAATAGAAAATATTTCTCCGGGGAGTTCAGTAATAGTAATAGACCGACGCAGCACCTGATAAAGTCTGACAGTATGTCGGACTTAGCAACAGTAACTAAGGGGGCGTGGCTTAGCGAGGGGTCAATTGACAGTTAAACACAGGTTTTCTTGCAATATAATATCCATTACTATGTTTCCAGTGGTGTATTAAAGACCTTACATAATGAACTGCTGTTTTTATTACCTTTGAATGATCCATTTCTATCTACACACACTGCGGGGCCTCTTACATGGAAGGACCCCTGTTGAGCCGCCATGTTGCTACAGTAGCCCAAACGGACAAACTGCTCTACAGAGCGCGTTTCATCACTACGTTGAATATGTACGAAAAAGAACTAGTAGTAGTCTGGTTTATTAGAAGCATTGACTGTACGATTAGAGGTAAGGGCGTACTCACACTACGCCCGGCTGCCTTGTACCGGACCCGAGCACGATTGTCCCCACTCCCCTGCTGGCCTGTGCTCACAACTATCCGAACCAGAGCACGTTTACGTCATCACGCCGGTGTTTCCCGTACATTGATTTATTTGTGGCAGCCTGCCACAGTATCAACGCCGACTGCCGTATATTGATTTTTGATTTTTCTTCACTTGGCCTGGTATGTTGATCATTGTTTCCCAAAGCCCAAGTTGACGTCTTCAGATGTCTTGTTTTATCCACAAAACAAATATATTCCGTTTACTGTCATAGAGTAAAGAAAATAATCACATTTAAGAAGCAGGAATCAAATCATATGTAAATAAAACAACTGATTAATCGTTTATCCAAATAATTGGCGATTAATTAAATATTCGTCAACTAATTGATTATTCCATAAGTTGTTGCAGCTCTAATGTGAATATCAGATCTATTAACTGGTTGCCTGACAGATTTACTGTATGAGAAAAGCTGTTGCCCTCAAACAATGTCCACATAATCAGCTGACTCAGTGTTCTGGTGTAGGGATCAATCAAATAGACCTACAGAATGTGTGAGAAGTGACTTCCTGGTATCTTTGAAAAGTATTTTTAGTTTATGTGGAATACAGTACTTTATTTTGATACATAGCATGGCTTAGTTTTTTACAGTTTGATGTATGAATTTTTGCCCATACCTGATTGTAACTATACAACTATATAAAACACCAAAACAAGTTCTTCGAAAAGGACATTTATGAATAATAAAAATAAACCTGAAAAATAGGCAGCAATGGAACATAATTTTAAAATCAACCAGTAAGAGTTAGCAGTCAGTTAAACTGACTGTCTTTATAGTGGCAGCTGGACATTATCAATTACTTTACAGATAGCAAAAAAGGTTTAAAATTGTTTTCTGTTTCTGTCCTCTCAGGTCACCTGGTAAGCGTTAACAGTTAATTGTTCAAAGTTAAGAGAAACAGAATTGAGTTATTATCCAACACACAGCTGATACCAACCTGCTACTGTCAAAATCATTTGTTTGCTTTTAATTTAATTTTCATCTTTTCAGTTTAAACTTGTAAATTGTTTTTGTATTGTTCATTAGTGTTATACATGTCTTGAACATGTGTTTTGCCTAAAGTGTTTAATAAATTAACTTGGTACCAAACAGAGGACAGCCTAATAAAAGAGATATAATTAGTTTTGGGGATCAAAATCTAAATCTATTATTTGCTCCCAGGGAAATTGGTCTGAGGCCAAAGTTAAGGTTCATAACTTTATATTTTTTTAACCTTTGTACTAAGAGCGCTGATCTTGCACTTTTGACCACCAAAATGTATAATTGTCTTCTTTCCCTATTGTACCATGTTACAATCACATTGTGCATTAAAACTCGCATAAATCATATTTTAATCAAGGGACAACTGAGGAAACAGTTTCACAGTGTCATTAAAACCCAATTTCCAGCAGCTTAGGGTCCCACCCACAGTCAAATGAGAAGAGGCTGGTAGTGTGAGTGCTGCCACCTGGCGGTGGTGCAATAGATATCCTCCATCTCCTAACAGGAAGTACCCAGCTGGTGGATACAGGTTGGTACTTTGTACAGATCCTGGATTGCCAATGTACACATCCAGAAATGGGCCTGTGGCATCACAAAGGCCCTGCAGCAGCACTGAGGGGAAATACAGCATTTCTTCTGTGGCTCTGCAGGAGGAAGAATCCTGACGCGGCACCGGCAGCACAGCAGAAGGCCTCATGGTCAGCAAGGCGACAAAGTCAGTCCCGCCTACTCCATCGCTTCTGGTTTGGGGAAATGTATGGTCCTGCAGACTGTGGTTAGTGGCTTGTCAAAGATATCTGAAGTTACCCTGTAAGAGTTTCCCAGGAGACTAGCACCTGAACTTCATAGATCAATCGATGGGTTCTTTGCCAGGGCAGCATCTGGACCAGCATGTTCAGGCTGTTCCAAGGGCTTTCGTCCTGTTTAAAAAAAGTCATACTTACATTTATTGCTTATTTGTGTGTTTTTAATATTTATTCAGATCATTTCTAAATATGAATGGTCTGATATGAATTTTTGAAGTCTGCTAGAATTAAATTGCTGTCTAAGCTCGGCCCTGTTTGGTCAGGAGCTTGCTTATGCCTAAGAAGGTTTCTATTTCTTTCATTGCCTGATATGCAGAGAGAGCAAACGTCTCCCCAGGAGTCAAGAAGTTACTGTGGCCTACAAGATTACTGTATCACAGAGATAAAATGTCCTGTTTGTGTTGAAGTATGCCCTGGTTGCCAACTACTGATCTATGTGACAGATGATGTACAGGTACTTTGTGCATTAATGCACAGTGATGTTTGAGCACCTTACTGTACCAAGGCTTGTCAAACTGAGTATCAAAAAGACAGAGAGTAGGTATGTATGTGGCATGTAGGATAACCCATTTTTATTATTAGACTATTAAAACTATCAGCCAGTTTATGTCTTTTATGCGATCTGTTTGAGAGGTATTTGCTCATCCTGTATAAATCGAGATAGACTGAATATTAGAAACAGCTTTCTGTATAACAGCAACACAAACTACAGCTGACACAAAAAAATAATGCTTTACAAACTTAAACGGCATTCGACTTTTATCTAGGTGTACCAAGTGGACTGTCAAGTGTACATATAAGTGGATAGACATGTTTAGAAAAAAGCATAATGATTAGACAAACTTAGAGAGACATGCTCATGCATCTTTTCTCTATCCTCCATCGCATCCTCTTTGACACATTCACCTCCTCAGTTGGGCAGCCCCCTCTTCAGCTTCTTTCTAAAGCATACTGACAGCAACAGCAATCAGGGCCGGCTGTTAAAATGGTAATTTATTTATTTTTATTATATATATATATATATATATAGTAAGTAAAGTCTCACAGATGCAAATTTAATATCACTTAATACTAACACACTTGAAACAGAAACACAGCTGAAAATAATAAGAGTACTTACACATTATGCTTCAACAAGAGTGTTTAGAGGATGACTGTTGAATGATTGTTGATTGTTTTTCCGAATTGGTGTTGAAATGGAATAATCAAAAGTACAAACTATCCACAGATTTATCACACCCAATCATCAGAAGCAGACAAACCTTCACGTGATGCTTCGAAGGAAAGGACGCCTCGTTTCTGGGATGCAACCAGAGTCTACAGCACCTCTGAGAGCCTGTACAACATATAGGTGCTTTAAGCTAAATGCTAATGTCCCCATGCTAACATACTCACAATGATAATGCTAATATAATGTTTACCATGATCTCTATTAAAGTTTAGCATGCCATAAATTTAACACAAAGTACAGCTGAGGCTGATGGGACGTCATTACTTTTGCAGATATGTAATCATAAACCAAATTTAAATGTTGACCTCATGGTTAGGGTTGGGCATCAAGGACCGGTTCCAAGTTGAAACCGTTACAAAATTCTTAAGAACCGTGGATTGGATAAGACTTCATATTTCAGCTCCTGATTGAACTGCAGTGAGCATTTTACAGTCCATAAAAGTGTCACTTAACTGCCAGGAAATGCTACGCCATTGTCGTTGATTCTCCTTTTAGGTATGCAAAAAGCTTTATTGATATCTGCTTATTTACAGCAATATCAATGGACTTTAGCCTTCTATGATATTTTCATATCACTTCAGAAACAGCTGACATAATAACTAACGTTATAGTCTACAATAAACTATGATAAAGATTATCCCGTGGTAGGTGTAGCATAATAATGTGAATGTAAAATTTCTCTGCAGGGAGATATCCAAGGCCCTAAATCCCAAACACAACCCTCCCTCCAGGGGGTGTCTGCCCAATCACTTGATACCAGCCTGGTACAACATAGAAAGAGAATAATTAAGTAGTATTTCTTTTTATAAATGCAGCGGAAAACATTTACATTTACTCATTTGGCAGATTTTTTTATCCAAAGCAACTTACATTTGAACGACGAGATCTACCTGTAACATTATACAGTATACTACAAAGTGCAGCAACAATACTTGCAAGAGCTATTAACACATACTGCAACAATGGGGTAGAAACTAAGGGGAAGCAACAAGAGTTAACAAACAGTGCAATCAAGACAATCGAGTTGTAGGGAGATAGAGGAAGAGGAGCACAGGAAGTGCATGTTAGAGGTTAGGGGTTAGAGGCGTTAGAAGAGAAAGTGTTCTTGGAAGAGATGAGTTGGAGTGACATGCATCCTATTGGGTTGGTCGAAAACCAGACACACCGCCGCGTTCTGGACCATATGTAGCAGTTTGCTGGGAGAACCACCAGGACGGCAGTGCAATAATCAAGGCGAGAGACAACCATGGCCTGTACCAGAAGCTTGGTAGCATAGTGAGTTAAGTAGGGCCTGATTTTTTTCTATGTTGTATAGAGCAGAGTAGCCACCTGGGAGTCAAGGGCAACATGGTCCGGGACGGCCATCAATCATGACTCCCAAGTTTCTCACCACCCTGTTTTGAGGAATCATCCATGCAGATATGTCCAAAAGATAATCCGTGATCCACGCCAAGACAGTGGGGTTGACTGTGTAACTATCAGTGTAACCAACATTTAGCTTCAATGAAGAGCTGATACTGATCACACCAGATAAAGCTTGTTACAGGGAACTGTAGGTGGAAATACCTTTACTTGGCATTACTCTGCGGTCTGCGCTGCTTATTGGATAATCTTTAGTGTTGTGCTGCTTTCCGTTCATGCCAGAATTATCTCGATAACTGGGTGAAATTTTAATCCCAGAAAAATTAGTAAATGCAAAAAAGGCTGCAAATCTGACATGCAAATCACGGCTGGAATAGTGTTGTGGGGGCCGGTCTGATCCACAGATACTGAATTTGACAGAAACAAGTGTATTGGATTAGAATCGCTTAATGTTAAAAATCTCTCAACTAAACAGAATCCTCACACACGTAGATTAAATAAATGTAATACTTACAGATAATGTTTCAAAGGGTTTGGAATGAGGACAGTGGTATTCAAACAGTGGCAATTCTAGTTATGGTCATTCTGTCGTCTGGCATCTTAAATACCCTAATTTGATATTTTAGATTCACTTTAGCGTTGCTGTGGCATTTTTACAAATTAGCATAAAATAATGTAAAATGTTCATGTGATGCTTTAATCACAGTTTTCTGACTATACTGTACATACACTTAAATTAGATTTTTAATGCAAGCCTTTTAGTTGTCATTGAGTATTCTGACATTGTGTTATCACTATGTTTACCAATGTAAAAGGATCTGAATTCTTCTCCCACCACCGGTGTGTGAGGTGTACAAGTTCAGCCCTGCCCTCATGCAAACACAGGCAAGACTGCACAGGTGAAGAGAAACAACAAGGAAACTGTGCACACCCAGGACTATAAATAGATTCTAAAAAAACACTGCGTTTCAAAGGTTGTTTGACTCGCTTGTTTCTTCTTTACTATTTTTCTAATTTAAAACCAGTTCCCATTTGGAACAGAGTTTGGGGGGAATTGTTAAGCTTTCAATTTGTCTTATGTTTTATTATTAGTTTTGTTTGTTTTTTTAAAACTCTAAGTCTGTTTGTGGGTGTGACCGTGCTTTAAACTGCTGTTACAGGAAGTGATGTGGCAGGGATGGGCTAAACAAGAACAAGTGAGGGCTATCACTCAGGTGAAGACAGCAGCAAGGTTTAATTTTCATTGCATTTTCACAGTATTCAACTCAGCAAAATCTCCAGTAAAAATATAACCAGGAGAGATGGTGACTGAAATCCTGAGGAGGCTTACAAGGACTTCAGAAGGTGAGATATTCGGCGTCTTCTCATGATTTGTAAGAGGCTTTTGTGACTCTGTATTGATTAAAAGTAAAAGGTGCATGAAACTTAAGCGCGAAATTTTAAATTATGTAAATGTCTTGTCATTAACAGATTTTATCAATTGCTTTTCATTTGCTTCTATGTTGTTTCTTTACTCAGATTGTATTATCTCTAACTCCTGGTTCAGACACTCAGTTAAAGATTTGGCTCTGTTCCTTCAAACATGTCCAAATATTTGCTTATTGCCACAGCCACCTACAACACAAGGCGTTATGTCCATGGTTGGCATTGATTTAATTTGCATCTGACTGAAACACCCATAATGGTCACACACAATAAAACATGTCGTAGGCGAGGAAGTTCTTCACCGTTGAGTGAAAACAACACTCGCAATTTAACCTGCGGAAAATTACACAGAGACGTTATCTTTTAATAGGCTACATTAGAAGACACTGACACATGGATATTTTATAAGCACCAAGCAGTTGGTGCCGCGTCTCAGTACCACAGTCTGTAATTAACAACAACAACAAAAAAACAGGGATCATGGTTGAAAACAAAATCCAAACGGGTTTTGTCTTTATAAAACTGCTGACAACTAAAGTCAATGGAGCAGACAGATACAGAGTGTGTGTCTGAAGGGGAAAGCAAGGTGAGCAGATTAAAGTAGTTTGTAAGTAAACACTAAAATAAAGTGGCTTATTAAGTAGAAATATTATTTAATAAGTCTGGCATCAGGCCAATTTTTTCCAAGCCGTTACATGGCCGGCCAGAACAAAGTCAATCCTTGCTACCTCACCTACACGTCTAGCTCAGACGGTACTGCGCGGGATTCCTGTTTTCCTTTTTTTCTCCCTTATTAAACAAATTGATTATAAGGACACTTTTGCACATGCTCACAATAAAGCATCGCGCCAAGAGGCTTTTTTGTACATCTGAACATGATACATGTGCTACAGATATTTTTTACATGTAGGTCCTACGTGCGGCGGGGGCTGCTTTTCACTTCCTCTTAGCAGGTGGCGCTATGACTATGGGTGAATGTTGGCTTGTACATGTATTCAGGGCGGGACGTGTAAAATTTGGTACAGATCTGAGCATGCACAGTCAAATTACAACTACTTCCTGTGTCATGGCGAAGCGTGGAACTTCTCCGCCACGCCACGCCGTTAACCAAAAACTCAAAGGTTTTACAACATGGCATCGTCAATGTGTTAAGGGTTTTCTGGGACAGATTTGAAGTTGATATGGCCAACCTGCTAGAAGTAGTACATTACAAAGTAAAACGTGTCATTTCCTGTTGCCAGCAGGTGGCGCTATGACTTTGACATGACATATTGGCATGTGTTCAGGGCGCGACTCTTATTATACTTATCAAATTTGGTGCAGATGTGAGCATGTATACTGAAGTTATAACTACTTCCTGTTTCATGGCGAATCATTGCTTTTCAACAACACGCCAAGGGCAAACTGGTCGACCATTTGTACATCTTTTAATCGTCAATGGTTTAGACTACACAGTGAAAATTTGAAGTCGATTGGATTAATTCTCTAGGAGGAGTTTGTTAAAGTATGTGTGTAAATCGGCAAAAATTACCATTAAATCCAAAATGACCGACTTCCTGTTGGGTATCGCGCATCGCTCCAAGAGGCTTTTTTGTACGCCTGGACATGATATACCTACCACAGAAATTTCGTACACGTAGGCGGCGCTATGCGGGAAACCCATAAAAGTTTTTCGCCACGTCTGAATTATGTGCAAAGTTTTTAAGCATGTTTAGGCCTCCAAAATTGAGATAACTTTGCAGATAAAAGAAAGAAAGAAAAAAACAAATTCCTTCAGTTCCAAATGGGACTTCGCATGTTTCATGCTTGGCCCCTAAACCACTAGAGCCCGACCGATATATCGGCAGGCCGATATTACCGGCCGATATGAGCTAATAAGATCCTTCACTCATGACATTGGTGTTGCATAGTTTGCCCACCAGAGGACGAGCAGCTGCAGCTCCCCTGTTAACAGCACTGCCTCACCACAAAAACCACAGAAGAAAACAATCAGCTGACCACAGCCGGCCCGCAGCATGTTAAAACACGCAGAGGGCTGTGTTAGCGGTGAGTCGGTCTTTTGTCAAGTTAATTACATGACTTTAATAATTATAATAAAAACAGACCCAGTCACTTCTTCTCTCCTGAAAAAGCTTTTCACTGCCCTCTCCCGGCTTCATAGCAGCTCACAGCAGTTGTTGGGTGTTGGAAGCTGCTGACAGACATAACTGTAGATTTATTTCAGTGTGGCAGTTCTAGTGAACGGTCCACTTTTGTCCCTAGTTCATCACTTCTAAATATTCTCTAAAATCACGTAACGTTACAGCAGCTAACGCTGCCCGTTGCTAAATTAGCCACAAAGCTAATGCCGTGTTTATCAGTGGAGGAGCGCTAACGTTAATGAGCCGCTAAACTATAGTTTCTGATCTATTCTAAATATATCTGCCTGTCTGCAGTTAGTCGGCGTGTCTGAAATTATTAAACCAGCGCGGACATGTAAATAAACGTGAGCTAAACAAGAATCTAACACGGCTTCCTGTAGCTCGTCTCTGTGTGACGTTGCAGATGTGAAACGCTGTAGTCTGAGCCGTAACTGCTCTGGTTGTAGTGATAACGTTAGTTAAATGAAATCTCAAAGTTGCAGACAGTCATGTTGTATTAGAGTCATTCAACAGCAGCTCACTGCATCATAGACGGCATGATTTATATGGTGGTTAAAAAATGGTTTCTCGTAGCTTTGGTTGGAATTAAAGAGTGCTGGTAAAGGGATGAACAAGATGTGAATATGCTACATTGAAATTGTGGGAGATTATGTGTAAAGTGAAAATACACATGCTTATTCTGTCTCTGTTTACAGATGTTGCCCCTTCCAGTAGCAAATATTTATGGATGTGACTGTTTACATGTTCACTTTTTGAGACAAAAATCCATTTTATAAACATAATCCATTTAGGAAACAGTTTTATAGCCCACATACATACCAGCTTTCAATATCTGCCTGTTCTGAGTGTAGTTTATACAGTAAAGGGGTCTACTATCCAAATCATTCTTAAAATCCAAATATCGGCATCGGCCCCCAAAAACCCATATCAGTCGGGCTCTACCCACCACCACAATTACATTGTCATTCTGTGGGATTCCAGCAGCCTAACCTGGAGCACGTTTTATTTTGAAATGTGCGAGAGAAGGCCCTGTAACCTGCTGCAGTTTGGAGATAATTAAAGCTATTTAATAGTCAGTGTTTTGTAATGAACATACAGTTGAATGGATCCCAGTCAGAAAAGCAAATTCTAATGGGGATCCTAAGAAAGATAAAATGTTTGTGTATGCTGTCAATTACAGTTTTTAGAAAGAAATTAAATCGGAATCGGCAAGTCAGACCTTTACAAAATCAGTAGTCTGAATCGGCCAGGAAAAATGCAATCTGTGCATCTCTAGTTCTTCTCTCTTTTCTTTTTATTACTTAAACCAGTTCCAGGCTTTTTCATTGCTGCCTCTATCTCCAATTTGGTCAGTGATTGAAATAGGTCTGCTGCCTATTGACGGCAATATTATTCCGATGGAATAAAGGTTGCTTGAGGATCAGGTTCTGGAACAGGAACAGCTCTTTTCAAGTCCAGCCACAAATTGTTAATTGGATTGAGATCTGGGCTTATGTGTAGCTTTTGCTGGATGCTTGGGGCCGATGTCTTGCTGGAAAATAAATCTTCTCCCAAGTTGTAGTTCTCTTGCAGACCGAGTCAGATTATCCTCCAGGACTTGGCGATATTTTTCTGCATTCATGTTACCCTCTACCTTTCCAAGCCTTCCAGGGCCTGCTGCTGCGAAGCATCCCAAGAGCATAATGCGGCCTCCACCATGCTTCACGGTGGAGATGTGCAGTGTTTGGTGTTCGCCAAACATAGCGTCTAGTCTAATGGCCAAAAAGCTCAATTTTTGTCTCATCAGACCAAATAACCTTCTTCCAATTGACCTTTGGGCGAATTCCAGATGAGATTTCATATGAGCTTTTTCCTCTTTGACACTCTCCCATACAGCTTCGACTGGTGTAGAACCCGGGCAACAGTTGTTGTATGTACAGTCTCTCCCATCTGAGCCACTGAGGCTTTTAATTCCATCAGAGCGGTCGTAGGTGTCTTGGTGGCCTCCCTCACAAGTCTTCTTCTTGACTTCTGTTGAATTAGGTCAGTCACTTTTAAGGAGGTGATAATTTTTGCAATTATCTTCTTTACCTTTTATATTTTTAATTAACTGACAGTTTGTTAAAGTCCATTTTCACTTTGATATTAAAGAGGGGTTTTTGTAAATTCTTGTCAAAAAAGCCAAATTATATTGACCATGATTTCATGTATAAGAAAACAAAAGTGTGAAACATCCAAGGGAATGAATACTTTATAGGTATTGTATGTATAATTATGATGAGGGGTAATTTGTACCTATAATTTTTTTTGAATTTTGATGCATTATGTGCAGAAGTTAGTTGGTCATCAGTTACGATCCTTAAGTGCATTGTTTTTTGCATTTAGTTTTCACCTCTCATGAAACGCCAATGGTGCGATATCTCTGACATTTCTTTAAACATTGACATCGTCTTTCTTGGGGCAGTATTTCCTCTTTTCAGTATGTTAAACTTTTACCCAACTGTTTCATTTTTAGTTGATCCAAAATGAGTCATTCAACAACAAAGCCACCACCTCAGATTGAAAACTGGACCAAGGAAGACGTCCACCAGTGGCTGATGACAGAGGTCAAAGTTCATGAGACTTGTGCAGACAGATTCTGTGAAGAGGAAGTGTCGGGAGACATTTTAGTTGTTTTTGAAAAGACAGACATAGTGGACCTGGGAATAAAACACGGTCCTGCTGTCAAAATCACATCTTATCTACAACATCTGAAAGAAGGATCACAACATGAATCACAGTTCCCAGCATATGTGGAAAACTGGACAAAGGAACAAGTGACCCAGTGGTTACTGCAGCACGTGAAAGTATATAGCAAATATGCAGAACGGCTACAAGAGGAAGACGTATCTGGAGATTGCCTCGTTTGCTTCAAGAAGCAGGATTTTCTGGACCTGGAAGTGAAAAGCGGTCCTGCTGTAAAGATTCTGTCAGAACTCCGTCAGTTAAACAAGAAACCAGAGCCGACACTGCAACCCATCCTTCACACCAGCACAGACCAAAAAGAGACTCCAAAACCCGCTCAACCGGAAGCTAGTCTGGCTCAGGACATAGCAGCCAAACAGGCTGAATCGTGTAACACGATTCAATCAAAACCAGTCAAAAAGGTGGAAAATGAATCTGAAAAGGCTCTGCAGCTAATTAAGAAAGCTTCAGAGAAGCAGCCAAAGCCACAGAACATGGGGGCTAGGAGAAAAGAAACAGTTGTGGTAAAATTTCTCTGTTTTCTACATTATAGGCTAGTATACAAAATATTATTGTATCCAGTCTGTTAATAGAGCCTTTTGATATGCAAGAAAAATCTATTTTGTTAGTGCAGTTTTAGAACTTATACAACTTAAAAGAATTTTTAAATGTAGACATTGATTAAAGTGTTGTTTACTAAATATTTACTTCTGTTTCTTCCTGTAGAGCACAGTCACATCCAAGATCACTATGGAGATCCATGAAACTCTCGAGAACCTTACAAAAGAAGACCTAAAAAAGTTTCATTTCTACTTAAAATTACACAAAAAATCTAAGGTTAAACCTATTCCTTGGTGTAAACTGGAGGGCAAGGACACCATGGACACTGCAAAGATGATGACTGAGCACTATAGAAGCAAGGAAGCTTTACAAGTCACAATTGACACTCTGAAAGAAATCAATCAACGTGAGCTTGCATGTCAGCTGGAAAAGAACATGGGTAAGACAACCTCTACCAACATGTATAATAACAAACATGTAAAATAGTCCCCAACAAACGCACTATTTCCTCCTGTTTGCTAGATAAAAACTACAGCGACCAGCTGTTTTAGGAAATTACTGAGACTTTTTAAACATGAAACTTATTATTATATTTGTGAGATAGATTTACATCTTCATTAGGAGCCAATGAGCTTGGAGCTGAGAGCCACAGACAGGAAGTCAACAAGTCCTCTAACCTAAACGACAAAACGGTTGTTTATTTATGCCTCCCAAAACAACACATATGATCGTTTACCTACAGGCGACCGGACCTTAAATACATTAAACACGTGGTTTACGTTGTGAAACTGTCGCAGTTTGGTTTAGGAAAGCGTTTGGGTTAAAGTCAGTTAATTACGTCATCTGACGGAAGTCACAGAAGTTACATGACGGATGTCAGTAAGGCTATTTAACTTAAAACTAAAAATAACTTATTTTAAATTAAAAAAAACATTTGGTTTTACAGTAAAAGTCTGGGATGTCACCCATCCAACCTCCTTACGCAGACTCTCTCACTATTTACCAGTATCACTCGAAATCGCAGTCACAACAAATGTTAATGTGGGTCATAAAAAAGTGCTGCACAAATAACCTATCTTGTCGCTTTTTTGGTGAGGAGTCTTAAACATATTGAGAGACGGACAAACACATTGTTGTTTTTCTCCTTTGGATTTGCTGGCAGTAAGCATCACCAGTCTTAACCTTTAAAGTTCAATAGATAAGTGTTGTATTTTACTTATAATGCATTTATTTCACTGCTCATACAGGTCAACCGGAGCAGCAGTGTCTTCCAAACGAAGTTTTGAAGAAAGAATCTAACCAGGGTGACAAACTAAAGGATTTATTAACGTGTGGTGGGAACCTGCTGGACACTTATAACAGATTTGTTGTTGTTGTGAACAAGAGCAGTCCAGGACAAGTGCAGTACCTGCAGTTTTTGAGTAAGCTGAAACTGTTCTGTGTGTTAGACTTTGACCCTAACTCCACCGCTCCAGGTGGAGTGTGTCATTCCTACAGAGAGTCAAGGATGGCCAATCTGCATAACCCATCACAATATCAAGGACAGACCGACTCCGTGATAAAGAACCTTAACCTCTGCAAACAGACCAGCTGGGTCTTCTGCAACGGCAGGCATGACCTTGACAACGACTCGAACAAGGAGCTGGACTATAAGAACTGGCTGAGGAAATCCTGCAGAGATGTAGAGCAGTTGGTTTCATTCATTTGCAACCCTGAAGTTCTTCTTCCTAGAAGAAGACTCATTATATTCCTCCTCCTTTCACCTGTGGACACTGAGAAAGACCCGGTTTTTGACACCTACAAGTCTTTCATAAAACACACTGAAGAGGAAAGCATCGTCACTCTCTGTGATTGTCAGAGCACGTATGAGAAATGGAGGGAGCTGGTTCAACAAAAGTGTGATTTTGACATTGACCGTCTATCCATAAATGAACTAACCCTAAGTGAGATCAATGGCACTATTATGGCTCTGGGACCAATCAGTCAGTCATCTGGAAGGCTGCTTCCCTCTTCCGGTTCCAGCGCTGTTGTCCTGAAACAGAAGGATGAAGATTTCATGACCGCTCTGGATATTTTGTGTCTGAATCAGTGTGAAAACGTTTATGATGAGAACAGCCCGGAGTTTGAAGCCTTGAGAATCAAAGTTGAGGAGGAATTCTACAGAGGAGGAAAAGTCAAATGGTGGAACTTCTACTTCTGTGACAAAGACAAAGAGAAGCCATTTGTCAAGCGGGACAAGTATGAAAATGTGAAGAAGATGATCAGACTTCAGTTGAAAGATTCCCAAGACATATGCGCTCTGCTGAATCTGTTTCACGATCCAGGCTGTGGTGGAACAACCTTAGCAATGCATGTGATGTGGGATCTCCGTCAAGAGTTAAGATGTGCTGTGCTGAAAGACAACACGCTGCCGAAGACAGAAGTGGCCGTCCAAGTCAGAAGGCTCATGAAACTTGAAAGTGAGAAACCATCTCCAGTTTTACTGTTAGTTGATGACTCAAAGGAAACCGAGAATCCTTACGATCTTGTAAACTGTATCGGTCAAGCTGTAGAGAATTTCTCTAACATAAATGTGGACGACTCACAAAACTGCAAAGTCATCATCCTTAACTGTGTTCGATCCCATAGCCCAAAGGAACAATACAGACAGCACGGTCCAACACAAAGTCAATACATAACTGCTTCACTAACAACAGATGAACAGAAGGAGTTTGAAAAGAAACTCAAAGAGCTCCAAAAAACTCATGAAAAACCTGAAAACTTTTACAGCTTCATGATCATGAAGCACAACTTTGACAAAAAATACATTGAGGACATTGCTCATAACACACTGGAGAACTTTGATATCAGCTCAAAGGAGGCCAAACTCTTTGCCTTTCTAGCCTTACTTAACACCTATGTGGCAGGATCTGAAATCTCTCTCTCTCTCTGTGAGGATTTCCTGGGAATGAAAAGTATACATTGGAAGGAGGACAGTGTAATGGACAGAATGAAGCCATATTCAAACTTTCTCATCATAGAGACAGTTGAAGACTGGGAATACAAAGGAATTCGAATCCTTCATCATTCCATCGCATCTGCATGTCTGGAAGAGTTGGAGAGAAGCTGCTATTTAAAAGTGAGTGAAATCTCTATGGAGATTCTTCACTGCGATTTGTTCTTCAGTAAAGTTGTCAAACACAGATTCATGCTCTCAATTCAACGGATGTTGATTGAAAGGCAGCGCAAGAAAGATGGAGATGAGAGAGAACTATTTTCTCCACTCATAGACAACATCAACAGCAAGCAAGGGAGACAGACTGTCCAAGAAATCTTTGTGAAAGCATCAACCAGGTTTGAAAAAAGTGCATCTATTCCTCAGGCACTGGCAAGATATTTGTACATCAACGAGCGTGACTTCCCAGAGGCTCTGAAATGGGCTGAGAAGGCCAAGAAAATTAAAGAAAACCCATACACATTTGACACAATTGGGCAGATTCACAAAAGCAATTTAAAATCAAACAACCACAGAGAAAAGCAGGAGACATCACACAATCCAGAAGACTTAAACACAAACATTAAAATAGCCGATAATGCTATCAAAGCTTTTAAAAGGGCTCAAGAGCTGGCAAATACAGAGGATGAACCTGAGATGGACGCTGCTGATGATGAATCAGATGACTATCCCAGAAAGTCATACAATGTTTATGGCTACGTGGGTGTGCTGGAAATTGCTTTCCTGGTCTTTGAGATATTGAGCCGATTGTCGTTCTTTGATGAAAGTGACCCAATGAAGAAGAGGTACTTGCGGAGTTTTCTGCAAAAAGCAATCCCAATCACCAGCGTGTATAAGGAGGACAACGAGATCAACAACAGATACGTGGAGATCATCAAAGAACACACGCAGTTTCTCCAAAATCTGAAAACTGAAGTAAAAGAAACGTTTGAAATCCTCGACTGTTACTTCACGTATATAAAAGCAAACAGTTCAGAATTCGATTCAAAGAATCGTTGGACTGTCTGTGGTCTTTTTAAAAGGTATGTAAATCTTTTTTGCACTGGACCAGATGAAATGAAAAAAGAACAACAAAACAATCCTAATCTCAATTTGAAAATGGATATTGAAGAACAAAGATCGTTTCTTGAAGAGAAACATGCAGATACATTTGTAGGGATTCTTCAGCATTTGGACAGACCTGCTGAAGAGATTGAGAAGATCACAGAGTGCTATGCATTCTTACAACAACAACAACTCCTCAACAAAAAACAAAAGACAAAGGAAAAAATCAATTACATTTTGTCAAACATAGTTCTTTTCATTTTGAAACCAAAATCTAAACATGTGAAGAGTTACAGCAAACTCTCTGCTCTCCTGCTGGAAACACTGCAAGATGTAGGACTTCGGTATCCCTTCCCAGACCCGTACTACCTGGCTCTGCTGTTACTGTGGCCAAGTCCTACTGAGGAAAACACAGAAATTGGGACCTACGTGAGAGCAATAAGAAACTCATCTCGCAAGCACCTGGCTCTGTTTCCGAAAAGGAGCACCGTTGCCCACCTCTACTTGGGGAAAGAAGAGGGACTCAAGAGGCTTGTTTCTAAACCCCAACTAGATGAGAATTTTAAAGAGATGCGCCGTGATACTTTGGCACAACTCTGGCGGAATGGAGATATATTTAAGACAAAGCGATTATCACCGCCTTCATCGAGTCAGTGGAGCCATTGAGCAAGGAGAGGTGTTTGCAAATTATGGAAAACTAAAATTCCCCGTGCGTCCAGCTCTCATTGCTGGTATAACAAGTGGTTTCAGCACAGAAAAGGTTTCTTTCTATCTCGGTTTTGCTATTAACGGACCCCTTGCTTATGATATCCAGTATGAAAACTAGGGTGGGTGAAACAAGTGCAACACAACACGTACAGTTTGAAAATTAGGTGAAGCAGCCCGTGACTTACTTCCGTGCTGTAAGACAGATTCCAGGGTTAAATGCCAATCCTGTAGCTCTAGCTGTATATGTACAAATGTTTTTATAAACTTTTATAAACCTCTCTTATCCCTTTTCCATTTGTTGACTGTCACAGATGTGGCACATTCACAACTTATGAAGTCCAGTATGAAAACTAGGGCAGTTGATCGTACAAACAAGCTCAACACAAGCGCTGAGACACGAACTGTACAGCAAGAAAAAAATAGGTGCAGCAGCAAACGACTCACTGTGATGGAATTTCAAACACAAAAACATGAGCAAATGATACGCAAGACAGAATCAGGGTTATATGCAATCCTGTAGCGCTAGCTGTATATGTACAAATGTTTTTATAACCTTTTTATGATATTTCATCTTTTACATTTACTCATTTAGCTGATGCTTTTATCCAAAGCGACTTACACTTGCTATACATGTCAGAGGTCGCACGCCTCTGGAGTAACGAGGGGTTAAGTGTCTCGCTCAGGGACACAATTGTGGATGGGTAACAGTGGGGGATTGAACCCGGGTCTCTCACACCAAAGGCAGGCGTCTTATCCATTGCGTTGTTTCTTTATTATCTGCCCTAAACATTTCAAGTATTTGTCTAGAGATATGGTAAAAATAATGTCTCAATGTGATGTGAAATTACATATTTCATTGGAAAATGTTACATTTTCTTGGCGGAGGAGCCCAAACCCCCCACCCATCTGACCATGACCAACACCACCAAAACATTCATCTGAAGCTCACATAAAATTGGGAAAGTGACATTTGAAGCTATTCTAATGTTCATCGCATGCTCATGGACACAAGAGCACTGCTGCTGAGACATGTTGTGTTGGGGTTTTATCTTCAGACATACTGCGCACTACGCGCACAAAAACAAATAGCTTCACCTCCGCTGCTACAACTCCATCCTAGGGGAAACACTGGCACGTCTAAACATCATACATCCAGCAAAGAGATCAAGAAGCTCTGAAGCTCCCACATCCCAGCTGAGAACGATAAAGCACTCAATTTATTTTATTTTATGTTTGGCTTAACATTAACATTATTGGAGAAAGATGAGTGAAGGTAACCAAATGGGATCAATATCTTCTGATCTTGTGTGAGAAATGTGCCTGATTGTTGTGGACATCATTTTCTATAGAAAAAGATTTTACTATCGTTTGTCAGTTTTACATGTTTTTATAATCATAAACTATGCAATATAAAAATCCTATCTTGTGTACTGTCTTAATTGTTGTTAGTAGTATTTAATTATTGTAACCTTAAATTGGTAAACATCTGTAGTATGAGGCTCTGTGACACAGCGGCGTGGTGGTGTGTCAACCTGTGTATTTCTGTGGGCTGTCAACAGCTCTTTAACAAGGTCTAAAATCTATTTTTCAATTCAAGCCTTGAAAAATCTATAAATTGTCTCAATTGTCTAGTTTTATTTGTGAGATCTTCTAACAAACATTTGATCTATTTATACATTCTTGTAATTTTCAGCAGCGGTATAAATCTAAGATTAGTAGTGACATGGAGTGATTAAAACATCAAAATATTGTGTATACAAAATGTAGGCTCTGCATAATGTATGATATTATTAGTAGTATAATATTAATTATTATTTTAATTAATTGCATTTGTCATGTGCTTGTGGTTCCTTCTTTTTTGTTTCTCCTATATGCATGAATTATGACAGCCGCTACTAAAATTTCACACAATCACTATTATATCAATGCACTACTAATTTTCACTCACACACTCTACGAGCACGGTAACAACAAAGTAAAACTGATTATTTGAAATGCACCTGTCCACAGCTAATTTTCAATTAGTTTACTCTGCAGGAGCCTGTAATACATTTCGATCAGACAGTCAGCCCCTTCAGTGCCTCGGTCGTGAAGAAAGTAAGAAATGTAAAACAAAAAGTCCCAAGCATACAACACATAATAGAGATAAAATAATTTAGCCATAAGGCTCTTCTAGACTTCCCAAATGTTCCTGGATTGAATGCATCAAAGTCTTATAGTAAAGAGTCTCATTCCAGGGCTTTTTGTGACGCTCATGTACAGTTTTACTATTGCTGCTTTTGCAATGATTGTGTATAGGGAAACGCCTTTTGGGTCTGTGTGCATGGGATTTATTGACAATGTAATTAGATATAATCATTAATAGGATCGAATCATCTATGTTAAGTCCTAATTTACACAGTACAGTACTGACCTTTGACCTCCTTACCGTTGATTTTAGGAATCTTTGTGTTGTCTTCACTGAGTAGTGGATAAAAGCATCAGCTATAACGTACCTGCATTTAAAAACAATTTACACATTCTCCAATCAGACATAACAAAAAATCTTTGTTTTAAGAATCATCCCTCAACAATAATGACTTGATAACTAACAACCTAGCTTATGCACATATTAATATTAACTTGACCAAGTATAGCCAAAGGGCTGAGGTAACTATGGCTGGCTTTAGATTAAAACTAGAGACTGTATATATATATATATGGTTTTCATGGTAAGCATAGGACATTTCCTATATTAGTATTGTATAATATACCTAATGTTGAAAATAAATAACTAGTTAACTAGAAACAGCTCAAAAGTAGCTTATCAACTGCCTACTGTACAGTGAGGAAAATACTTATTTGAACACCCTGCTATTTTGCAAGTTCTCCCACTTAGAAATCATGGAGGGGTCTGAAATTGTCATCGTAGGTGCATGTCCACTGTGAGAGACATAATCTAAACAAAAAAATCTAGAAATCACAATGTATGAAAGTGTAGCATTGGCATTGCAGTAGCACCGAATGACTGCTAAAAGGGTAATTATCTAGAGTAAGTAAGAATTTAATATCACTTAACAAACAAACATAGCTAACAGCGCCCTTTTATAAAATGAAGAACATAAACTACCGGATGTGAAATGTGTGGCTTGGGATATTTGGGAACTGCACCGAGTTATTAATCACAACACGTAAATGAGAGTAATGCTGCATTCATGTGCTCCTCGGATGGTTCCATTTCCAGAGTTGGAGGTCGTTCTTACGACTTTAGTGTGTTCATGAGCTTTAAGTCATAATGTGGAAACAATGTGGACGTTTTTGTATAGCGTCTGGGTAGTGGGTGTTATGTGATGCTGCTGTCCAAGTACTATGATGTCGACTCGGCAGGTCGTGTACCAAAAGTTGTTGTTCCAACTCGACGGGGCATTCAAGTGAAATTTTCCAGTCGGGAACTCATTTTTACTATTTTTCCTACACTACACACTAACTGCAGGTTAACTGCTGAAGGAAAACGTAAATGTCAGTTTAGAATCTCGTATTGTTATCATTATCTACCATCACTTCTATTGTCTAATGTTCAAAGACAATCAACCAATGGTAACTCTTGCTATTTAACACAAGTTTACACTTAGTGCTGTCTCTAGGGTTGTCGCAGTGAAGTAATTTCCCCCGCGGTAATTTGTTGTGGCTCAACATCGCGGTAAACGGTATTATTGCCATTTTTGGTGCCATATAGCACAGCAGTGTGTGTGTGGATCTGTGAAATCTGCTGCAGGCATCCAACACACTACACTCATTATTTAGTGAGCTTCAAATGAAGCTTACTGTTCAAACAGTTTGTCCTTCAGTATCTCAACATTAGTCCACTGGGGCGTTTCATTTACCTCAGGAGTCAGAGGTCGGAGCTGGGAATGACGTCACACCCCGAGTAACAAGTCAATAAAAAGTTGATTAAAGAAAAACGCATTGTGAGTATTTGCTCATACTAAACACAGGATTTCATTTCAGAAATCTGGTCACCTTACCACAGACAGCAGCTGGACAGCACTTTGTGTACGAAACTTTCCATGAGACACAATAACACAGAAGTGCTAATAAACAGTAACTACAGCTTTCGCCAACTGTTGATACTCAGAGCAGCCATCTTGGATCAGTACATTCCCTGCAAGTGTTCACACACACACACACACACACACACACCGCGAGAAGGTGACTTTTATGCGATAACGTGAATAAACACAATTCGCCATTACAACAACTGTATGAACCCAAAGTAAACATGTTGCTGTGATTTAATAGCAATAAACGGATCAAACTGATGCTGAAATAATTACAACATGATGCAGATTTGTTAAACATATGAATTGATGCTTTGTCAGGTCTGTCAGCAGGACAACAACTTCTAAAATGTTTTCTGAATGGAGCTCGGATCGATCAGGGCTATGCTATGCTAACTTGGTCACAGTAAAGTACAACGACAGCTGGAATAAAGTTACAGACACACTTTTCCTGATCTCACCAGTAGTTCAACCTCATTGTTTTCTTTTCTCCATGTAATGTCCAGTTTTGTGTGTTCTTTTTATATAAATACAGAGCTAACGACACTAACAACAACACTGGAACCGGATGTGCACGGAAGCTGCTGAGAAGCTCCAGTGAAGATAAATCCACGTTGTAATCCCAAAAACTAAAGTAAAAAGCTAATTTAATAAAAGCAGTTAACTCCGAGCTCCTCCCGCGAGTAAACGGTGTAGTTGTCAGAGCAGAATCTGACCGACTTCGGGTGTTTATTTGTCTAAAGGTTGCAGCGCTGCTCCCCGCTCCTCTCCCCCAAGTTTAGCAGCTCTCAGCCGGCCAGCAGATTATCAATCGCAAACAACATTCACAAAACTTAGATAACCAAAACAAAGTGAGTCGATATGAATAATGTTTCAGAAAGTGGATGAAAGCTAAATTATTGTTTTTTTTTATGTAAGTTACCGTAGGGCGTGTGTGTCTGCCGATGTACTCCACCTTGTGTTCTGGCATCAATCAGTAACCCCGGCACAGTTCTGGACTTTCAGTCGGTTTTTCAATCTCCATCACCCGTAACGATATCTGCAATCACAATAAAAACACAGGAGAACTTAATAACTTGGATGTGATAAAGTTCACGATTAAACAAACACAGTAATATTAATATTCAAAGGGAAATCTGCACACCTGCATCACCATAAACACTCCGCAGGCTGGAGCTGACAGGATGCAGCCGTTAGCCGGACCAACGGGGTTTCCTCCCCTCTGTACTGGGGCCGCCTAGCATGCTAACATTAGCCTTCAGGCTTTTTACCGCGATTCATTAAATAAAACATTTACAACAATTACAGTAAGACTCAACGCACAGGGCGAGTCGGACACAATATCAACCAACATACGACAGTTTAATCACGCCAAAGTCACAATTATCGACTTTTATGAACTTTTAAATCTTTTAAACGCAGTTCAACGGCAGCTCACCTCCGGCCGTGAAGGAAGCAACCGCCATTTTGATTTAAGGCAGCGGGAAGAAAGATGGACGACAAGCAGCCGAGATCACAACCATGAAGAAGAGTTGTTTCATTCCATATTCAGTCCTGGAGTCAGAGAAGTCTTCCTCATCAGAAGAACCTGCGGGGCTGTGCTGCCCTCTGCTGATCGTGAGGGGGTTTAAAGCACCAACATTAACTCATAAGATAAAAGTATTTCCACTAGTGTCATTTAAAATGTAAATTACCCTGAAAAACAAACCAAGAACCTTTATAAAAATAAATAATACACCAACAAAACAAAGTGGTTTCTATTAAAAGCTATCTGAAACAGAATGTTAAAATTAAAGGTGAGCTTACTCTACAAGTACCTGAAGTGAGGGATCTGGGGATAATTTTAGACTCCCAGCTGAACACTAAAAAGATTTACAAATCGATTAACCTTACCTGTTTTAAGATAATAAAATGCTTCACATTTGATCCCGGCTTGATGTTTCTAAATGCAATGATACTTACGGTTTAACTACCTGGTCCAACCAGTCAGTGATTAAAGGTAGGGCCAACTATTTTCACGATTAATCGACTAATCGTTAAGTCTATAAAATGTCAAGAAATTGGGAACAAAAATTTCCAGAGCCCAAAGTGACGTTTTCAAATTGCTTCTTTCGTCCAACCAACAGTCCAAAACCCAAAGACTCTTCATTAACTGTCATTAATGACAAAGATTAGCAGCAATTCCTCAATTTAAGTAAATTAAACCAGCTAATTCTTCACGTTTTTCCTTAAAAATGCCTGAAACGATTAACCGATTATCAAAATAGTTGTTGATTCATTTTTAATTGAATAATCGACTAATCGTTGCAGCTCTAAACCCGGGACAAACAGCAAGTCATGTACCATCACTGTCGCAGTTTAATAAAAGATTTTAAGTTTTGCAAACTTTGATTTTCATTATGTAAAGCTTGTATTTAAATGTTTAAATGGACGTGCTCCTCAGCCTGTCTTTAAGTACATTAAGACACTACAGAGCAGCGGCAGATCCACCAGAGCTGCTGCAAGTGGCGACTGTAAAGTTTCATTTTGCAAAACTTCCTTTTGCTCAGACGGCCTTTTCTGTGAAAGGAGCAAAGTCTCTGAACTTGTTACCTAAACACTTGAAAACTGCTGCAAACTTCGCCACTTTTAAAAGAGAGGCCAAGTCCTGGTTGGTTCAGCAACAAACTTATACTCATGTCGAGTCTATTGTGTTAGTGTCACATGTTTTCCATTGTATTAACCCTTTTTATCTTGGGTTATACTGTAATGTATTGTTTTATACTTCATCACTGTTTTAATGTTTTGTTTCTTTAAAAGCCCTTCTAGGGACGGGCGTTGCAAATTAGCAACTGCTAAAAACACTATTGAGCACACATTGGATTGCTGTTTTCAGTTTATCTGTTAGGTGCATCTGCCCCTAATAAAATAAACCATAAATAAATAAAAGGTTGTATAGATGACAATATAAATTTACATCAGTTTCATGCAAAAATTTAAAACCAGAGCTGGAGGAAGTATTTGGATTTGAAGTACCAATTCCACACTAAGTAAAAGTATTTAAAAAATGTATTAAAGCAGTAAAATGTCTGTTGTACTATTATATATCTTTTTCCTCCATTAAATTGATTGATTGATTGTAAAGATTCTGCCCAAAGTGACACCTTCACAACGCTTGTTGTGTCCAAATCTCAACGTTACTAACAAACATTACAGTTAATTATTCAGAGGAAAAGCAGCAAATCTTCATGACAGAAGCTGAAACCATCAAATGTTTCACAGGAAAAATGACTTCAACCATCAAAATAATTTATTTTCTCTCAATGAATTAACGGATTAATGGACTAATCATTTCAGCTGTGCTTAAGCGTAATTCATCACATCGTCTCTGACTTCTGGTACCAATGTTTCATTTTAACAAACATATTTTTAAGCTCTCTATACGTTTTGTGTAAAAATCTTAACTTGTAAAGTAACTAAATCTGTCAGATGAATGCAGCGAAGTGAAAAGTAGGTGAGTAGAAATAAAAATATAAAAAATAAGTAGCTTAAATTCTGAGACTCAGACTCATTTCTGTTTGTGCAGCAACCTTTATCATGACAAAAATATGAAAACTAATGTACAGAGCAGCATCATTGCGTGTCATTAAATATGACTTGGACACGTTCACAGAGGTCGCCACGACTGGTAGCAGTGACCACGTCTCAGTGAGTGTGAGCCGACGATGAACAGATGAATGCGTGTTGAGTTTCGGGGGAGCAGCTTGTGGAAATCCAGCTTCTTGGGTTTTCAACCAGCACGCAGTCCGAGCCGACGCCGGGCTCGCCGCGGCCCGCCGGCGTCCCCTTCAGTCTGGAGGAGGACGCTGACCGACCGTCAGCCCACATCCAGCGACTCGAACCTCCAGGCAGACCTGAGGAACAGGATGAAGAGTTAGAAACTGACCTGTATTCATGCAGAGGTTTCTTCATATCGGTCAGATTCACCAAACACTCAACCACACAAACTTCTTGTAAAATGCTCTTTTCTGTCTGAGGAATGGCACCTAATTAAAATAATTAAATGTGCTCTAATGCTGACTGCACACTAGATGATAATTAGACCAATTTGCCCCCCCCAACAATCGCCGGGGGGTTGGCGTGGACAGCATTGCTCAGAAAAGTTGTACTTGGGGAGCCTCTGACCAGAAACCTGCAGCAGCTAAAGAGAGCGGGCTGAGCGTGGGAAGGTTTCATTCACAAAAATGTCAAAATGCGGAGCCTCAAGTAGCAAAGTGCAGACAGAAAGCAGCAGATGAGAAGATTTTCCACGTTTACAAGCTTGTTCTACAGCACAAGGCTGCTCAATGAAACAAAATTTGTAGTTCCTTCATGCTACACACAAACCATATATAAGGTGTAGGCCTTTATTAAAACATGGTAACATAAAATAAAACAATATAGTTATTTATATAGCCTACACACACACAGACACGTATAACTTACACCCACAAAAGTTTCATGTTCACAATAGCAGAGTTAGTCGTCGCATTAGACAACCTGAAACTATTCAAAAACACTATATGGAAAAAGCTGAACTGTGAGGGAAATGTTTGATGTAGAGTTGGAAAACCGCCCACGACTGATATGAGATGAGGTCACGTGACAGCGACTACTTAATGTTACAGCCTGCAGTAGGTGATACTGTAACAGAGGCCTGCAGAAAGACTGAGGCAGCTGAGTGAGTCCAATAGCTACTGAGCTGTCAAGCTGCTGTGAGGAAACACGGCAACAACAATCTGCAAATCTAAAACAAACCTCAGCCATGATGGTGATGATGATAATACGGGGAGAAGAATATTCATTTTTCTTTAGGTCATTTCTTTATCATATTTAAAATTCATTCAGTTTAATTCTGATTCTTTTGTAAAACAGATGTTTCCTCTCTGTGGAGAGAGTCAGGCTGCGTCCTCATGACTCTCATTTGATTTCATTCGTAACTCACTGAAAATTCTTTATAACAGAAAACTGATTAATGCAACAAATTTTCTTAAAAATCACTCGTACTTGTCACATAAGAGCAAATCTTTTGGTACGAGCGGTTCTTGGGCGAGGCCTGTAATTGTAAAAATGTGATTTCATTGGTTCTGTCACTCGGGCGTTCAGCGTGTTGAGATGAAAGAAGCCGCTCACCGATCCAAAACGGCTTCCTCCCTGCAAACTTCCACAGCCAGGCCGTGTCTCTTCTGGACCGCACGCTGCTCAGGCTGCTGTTAAACCTGACACACACAAATGTTACCGTATGAGAGTCAAACACACATCTGAAGGCCGTGTTCACACATACAAACACAGCTACATAAAACATGCGCAGGCGCCTTAAATTTAAATAAGCATCATAATCGAGGCCGCTGTTGCAAATTAGACAGTTTTCTGCCCAGAAAGGCAACTTTTTATTTGACTGAGCCGGTGAAAATAATTATTATAATAATGCTGGAACTTTTTGCTGGAAGTCCACATAAAGCTTCTGAGGGTGTATCAACAGGCTGTTCCGAGGTGTTTACTGTAGAAATGCGTTTCATTTCCTGCCACCGCTGCAGAATAACCAAAGAAGGTAACAAAGAAATTTAGGTCAGCAAAACTGAGAAATAAAATTTTTGAGATTCTGCGACGACTTTCAGGGAAGTTATTCTGCAGCAGTCGAAGGATATGAAGCCTTGAGAGTTGGAACAGCCTGTTAATGTAAATGTAAATGCTCCGTACTTGTATAGCGCCTTTCTAGTCTTTTCGACCACTCAAAGCGCTTTTACACTACATCTGCATTCACCAGTCACACACATTCATACACTGAGCCTAAGTGCTCAAATGGAAACTAACATTCACACTCATTCATACACTGGCGGAATAGCCGAAATCCACCCTCAGAAGCTTTATCTGGACTATATTAAATATATTATTTATATTAATGAAGGCAGACAGAGCAGCTGCTCATCTGTTGATCCTACAGTGAAATAATGAACAAAACTCCTTCATTTAATTGTTAATTTTAGATCTGAAAATGTCTGTTTTGGTGACGTAAACGTTGTTTTTAACTTTGGCAGTTTGCTTTTGGAAAAAAAACTACTTAGATTTACTTACAAACTACAAACATAGGGGGCATTTTAAAACTTAGTGTAGCTGTGATAAAACCATTATAAAAACACATCTGGTCATTAAAATTAAGACTTTTTGTAAAGTTAAAGATTTAGAAGATAAACATGAAGATACATCGTCGTTGTCGTTCACAGATAAAAACTTGGTGAGTAAAATGTTATCATAACCAAAAGAAATGATGCATGCAACTATGAAAATAAGGTTGCAGGAAACCGTTCAGACGAAAGAAGTCGGAATGATAAAAAGTGTGTTTTCGTGTTCTTTACACCAGCGAGCAGGTCCTCTCGGCGCTGGCCCAGCTGGCCACAGACGAGCTGAGGATGT